CATACAAGGTATCCCATATCATTGAACAACCCCTTGAATTTCTTGTTTTTTTGCCAGCTTGTACAGCTTGGTACCTGAGTGGAGAATCAAAAAGAATTATCTCAAAAAAATGCTGACAGTTTTTTTATATTCTTTCGACCATGCGAAAACTACTGATATGCCTGTTAGATAGTTTGTTCTTTACTTAGAAAGATCGTTGGCAGTTAAAATTTAGCCTGGAAGTACCTTTCACAAATTGGCTTTTAATCCTGATCTTGCCAGTGCTCCTCCTGAAGCATTACAAAAACTTTTTTCAACGAATATACTAAAAAAGTGCAATTCTGCTACGAATACGGAGTTTGTAAGGTAGAAAATAAAACTCAAAAAGTTACTGTGATTTTTCTGTTACTGTGAACCACAGTTTTGTTGAACAAGTGCCCGGCTTTCTCCAAATAGCATTTTTCTCTTAGCGACCTCAACAATGATGGTAAAATAAGTGTACAGCTACTTTATCGTGGGTTAAGCAGGGTTGCTACAGCAAGGCTGCAGGAAGTAATAGCAATAGCAGAATTTTTTTTATGATTATGCGACAAATGGGTAAACCGCAGCTTCCTTGTTTGCGAGCTGGTATCCCTATGCAACATCCTGAACCACCACTGTGACATCTGCAGCGGTCTCAAGTCAATGTACTGCTGGAAAGACAACAGCAAAACATTCGCAGTCAGTAATCAGAATTGAGTTTGATATTTTACGTCAGAAATGTTCAACGATAAAGCAAAGTAATACAAATAAAAAAACAATAATCATGTTTTTCAAAAAAAAATTTCTTGAATTATTGTACTGTAAAAAATTTACGGTCATCTAGCTGCTGCTAAACTAGTAGAACTGAACTCTGTCCAACACATTACATATGTGACTGAGAAGTTGAAAATTTACGTTAAAGCAAAAACTGTCACATTCACAGACACCCTGAAATGCTCCGTTCACTGGAGATTTCCTTTAGTCTACTGTCATTAGTCGCATCGTAACTGGTGACACCATAAAAATATCACTCTATAACTTTATTATATTGTACCAGAATTATGCTTTCAAAAAACATTTTTTTGACCAAAATTTGAAGTGAGCTCTCTAGATTTTCTACTTATCTTTGACTTTTCTTTATTCCGACCTCATATGCGATTTGTTAAAATACGCATTACACTATTTTTTGAGCAAGCAGTCGACAGTTTCCAAAAGAAAAAATCATGAAAACTTGTTATGCACAAACAAAGAATGCAAAGTCCCCAAGGTAACAGTGTTGAGCAACAAATATTATTTATTGTGTTTTGAAACAGCCCAATTCTGCTGTAAGCGCACTTTTGTGGTTAAGCTTTTTGATCCCCCAATCAGAGAGCAAGACCTATAAGCTACTAAAGAACAAAAACAATGTGAAAGGCCGACTAAAATGTGTGCCACTTGGTGTGTAATGGCTTATAAACTTATACATACACATATATATGCAGAGGCAGTTATAAAAATAGTGCAAAAATAGAAAGAAATTATTTTACAACTTGTTTCTTCTGACATTTTGGTTCCTATTCGATTATTTTGATGTAAACTGCCTTTCTGTCTTCAATTTCAAAAACTTAAAAGCAATTTGCTAATAAAAGCAAGGTAGGCTGGGAAAAGTTCAAAAAGTTAGTAGGCGCGAGATCAGCTTTGGTGCTCAGCGTTTATAATAAATCTAGTTTTGAAACTAAGTCTGACATTGTTATCATGAGACTTCCAGTTACAACGTAAATGGAATTTAACATAAACGTACTAAACAAATCAGCATAAAAACATTGGTGAGAAACACTAAACTATGAAAGATACGTAACAACCTTTAACAAATGTCTAAACATCAGACCGTCTTTTGGACAAAAGAATACTGTTTATAAGAACCAAGCGATGAGACACAAAAAGTGATTGCATTGAAAATAAACAACTTACAAAACCAGATGACGAGTGTCCAAAACGACCTTCGTTATTTCAACTTCCGATGTTTCGAAAAATTTTTATTAGAGTTCTGTCCCCTTTTCCGGCCTAAAATCATAATTAATACTAGTGTGAAAAATAAAATAGAGGGTTTTTCCAAAAAAACTGATAATAAAGCTGTTATACTCCTAGACGAATAAACTGCTTTCTTTACACACTGAGAAGCGCTCTAAAGAAAAGAAAAAGAATCTCATGTATCAGTGCTGCAGCCAAAATTACGATTTTGCATGAAGGGGACACAAGTATATCATCCAAATCAGAAAGAACAAATCGAACACCACAAACCAGAAGACTGATCCATGCTTTGACCGTAGGCTCCAATTAAACCTGAAAAACCATCGATTTAAAGTCACATGCGTTATTTACGTCCCAATTTTTAAAAATCGCAAAAGCACATACTATTAAAACCGGTAGGAGCATTTTCATCCACAACTTCACTGTCAGGAGAAACTGGTATAAACCAAAGAGGACGATTTGCTCTCTTAGCGTCTTCGAATTCGTAAACGCAATCATCTTCTTCGTCTGAACTGTAATACACCAGGTTCTTCGATGGTGTCACAACGTCGATGACTTCGTCCAAGCCCTAAAAAAGCATGTAATATAAAAATAAAAAAATTCTCTACGGAAGTAATAAAAGTTAGAAAATGATAAAGAGTTTACTTTTGAAGTTTGAGAAAGTGATGTTTCCGCGTCTTCATCCTCAAAGTCAAATTCTGATTCCTTTTCAACATATTTCGTATTTTCCTCTAACTCCACAAATTCAGGCGCAAATGCACTCCAGTTTTCAACATGACACTAAAATTCTACATAAAAAATCCTTCTGTTGAAAACTGAAAGTCCGAACCACACTATAAAAGCAGAATAAAAAACTCGACTTAAATGAAGAATATTTCTTATAAAACTAGAGGATTTTTTCCGTCAACAACTCAAAACTGTTATGAAGTCTACCAAGTTTACAAGTCTTGAGATCTAAAACGTCAAATAAATTCTTTCAGAAGTGCGCCTGCTGCACAGGCAGACCGTATTACTCCGTAAAAACTATCAAGATGAAGCTGAGCATGGCTTTTTCCAAGAAGTGGTAGCTTTATTAAGCTTTAAACGAACTGCAGGATCTTTTTTTTCTTTGCGATGTACCGTACCTCTGCTAAGTTCTAAAAAATATTTATATTTCTTAATTTGTGAAGAAGTTTAAGAGTCACAGTAGAAAAAACTGTAAACGGTTGTAATCTTAGCAGTTAACTGCACAGGACTTTGTAGCACGAAACTCTGCTAATAAAAGCAACAAAAGCAAAAGTAGTTGATCCTAATCAAATATTCTAAAAAGTCAACAGTGAGAGCAGTTTTCAAGGGTCAAATATGTTTCAGGCTGATGCCGCCGAATGTTGTCAACTATTCGTATAAATGGGCAAAAAACTTCTGAATAATCGCAAAAACAGTTTTTTCAAAAATGTGCAAAAAATAATGTAAGTTTTTCGCCTTATTTCTGTTGTGCCCAACTGACCAGCAAAACAAGTAGATTTTATTCTGTCTCTCTCAGGAGCAGGGTGCCACTTCGAAAAAGTTATTTTTTGTTCAGTCTGTTGAAATCAACAAAAAATGGTACGCTGAAAACCTGACAGAGAAAAACTCACATACTTTTGTAACAATTTAAGTTTCAAAAATTTGACAAC